ACATAAAGCATAAAAAGTTAAAACTACATTGAATTATTATTTTCCCTATAATCAAGCTGCTTGGTCTAAATTCCATTTTGGGGAAAAGTGAATTCATATTTTCAGAGGAATGTTTTGGCTCTGACATCTGAAAGCCAAGGTCACTTTGATTTATGTATTTTTTTAATATAAATCCTGTGATCAGTTTTGAAATTTGGCCTGGGTGTTAATGTCATGCCTGCTCTGTTGAAAGGACGTGGCTTTAGTAATAATGATATAACCAACAGCTCTAGATGCTGTTAATGTTTAATTTAAAGAGGTTATTTCGTTCTCCAGTGAAGTGGTGTCCCTGCAGTGCTGAGAATGTGGGACGAATGTGTTCAGCCTGTATTTGTTAGAAATGCAAATTACTCATTGTTGCCTTTGTGATTTAGTTAATATGTAATTCCTAAGAACGAGTGGCTCTCTTGTTGGACAAAACCAGTCCTGTTAATTATTTGCAATAAATAACTGGAGCCTTTAAGAAAGAGTTTTAATATTTCAGAGCTGCACAGCCAAATGGAAAAGGAAGCATTACTTCCTGTAATTGTTTACCAACAGCATCATTGCTACAGATACTAAAATCTTTTTCTTTTTTTATATGCCCTTTCAAATCCTTTCAGTGAGCTTTAATCAAGCACGTCAAAGCCCAACTGTCTCCCTTCAGCAAATCGATCTACCTGCACTCGGGGCCCAGCCAAATTCACCAGATTTAGCCGTGCACCATGACTGGCATTAATTCCTTTAACCACATCTCAGTTCTACACATCTTCAAACTGCTTTGTAGTTATTTACACTTTCTTACAGCTCAACTCTCACAAATGTCTTGTGAACTTGAGTACAAAAACAAGATGTCACCATAAATGACCCGTAGACCAGGTTTCGTGCTGGATGTCAAGGTTCTTGCCTGATATAAGACCTGTGGCCGTCTGTAATCAGCTCCATACACTGTCAGGATTTAACTACACTTGTGGGAAAGATGGAGGACTTAAGTGGATTTTGTTTCAAGGTTTTCTGTCAGGGAGATTTGGCAGCACATCGCCAATCTTTCAAGTACTCCGGGCAAAATTTTGGTTTGAATTATTTTGATGTCGGCTTGTTGATTGCACTTTTTAAAAACACTTAGTTTTTTACTTGCAGTTGTAAAACTAGGATTGGGAACGGTAAGTGAAATATGAAGGACTGTGAAAAGTGTTTGCAGAGTACTGAGGCATATAAATTACCTCCTCAAAAGATAGTAATTTATTCTACTTTATGAGCRCTCGCTGTCGTTATCTGACTCTAAAATGATTAAAAGCAGCCCTCAGCTCTGTTTCAAATCTCTCCAGAGCTGGGAGCTAGCTTTGTCAAAAACCTCTCTCTATCTTAAAAGGCTTTAACTGTTTTTTAAGGAGGCTTTGGTGCTTTGAACAACAATCTAACAATGTTTATTGCCAAGAAGCAGATTTACACAGTACTGTTCAGTGGCCAGTGCTGCTCTTAATGGATTCCCTCTTATGTTTAGGAGGTGCAGGCTGTAATGAACGAGGTGTCCCAGACTGCTGGAGACATCCCCCCCACCCTCATAATTCACCCCCTAATTCTCCCAACACATCTCAGAGACACTGAGGTCTCGTGCTGGGATAGAAAAAACATCCTGCATTGCCATCTGATGCTTTGAGAAAACAGACTCAGAATCCGTCAAGCTCATTTGAGAATTAAAGTGCCTGCGACGTGAAAGTTTTGTAATAGATATGAATGCATTTTTGGAAAGCTAACATTAATAACATATTATAAAATAAATTTGATGCCACTGAGATAAACAGAAATTCACAGGAAGTGATGACAAAGGGGAACATCTGAATATGAACAGAGCGTAGCTACAGCAGCTAACAACACAAACTGTAAGAATCTGATGTTTCTTTCGATTACTTTGAGCCACTATCAGAGATTAAGAAAAGTCAGAGTTCAAATAATCTTTGTTTCAATGAAGACCAGATAATTCATTTTTAAAGARGTCCCTTTTATGTCACTTCCTGTTTCACTTTGGCTGAGCCAGGTTCAATAGAAAATGTGTTGGTTATGTGATAAAATTAGTAAAATTATGTGTATTATGCTAAGTTTCTTAAACATAAAGATGTTTTCTTTGACTTTTTGTATTTGAAGGATATTCATGTCACAGGCTCTTTAAGGATTAACAGCAAAGCTTTACAAACAGACGGTTGGTGATGTGTACAAGGAGATTTTTATTTAAATTTATCCTTTATTTAACCAGGCAGATGCCAATGAGATAACAGCTCTTTTTTAAGGGTGGTCTGAGCTTCAAGGCAAATTATTGTACATGTTTTTGGGGTGTGGAGGAAACCAGAGTAAACTCTATGCAAGCACGAGGAGAACAGGTCCAAACCGGGAATCAGACCCAGGACCTTCTTGCTGTGAGACGTCAGTGCTAACCACTGAGCCATCCTGCTGAAATAGATCACAAAGCTGCTGCTTAACCCTCTAAGGTCTGGAATCTAAATGGTCATTTTGGCTAATTTTGAATTTACCCTTACATTTTCTTCTTAAAAACTTTTTTTACCTTGCCTTGTTTGGTATCAATATCATTTCAGCACAACCAAAATGTTGACTACGCTCTGTTCTCCCATCTCCAAAACACTCCCTCACATTCTCCACAAGTGTACAGACTTTTTTATTGGTTGCTTTGGAAATGTGGTTCATTTCAGGAAATCAGAAAAATGGGTGTCATGTTGCGTTCAAGCACTTCCTGGTCACAAAACGTTCTCTGAATGTGCAGAAAACGCAGAGAAAATGCTCACAAACATATGACAAAAATGATTTATCATAAATCAGGTTTTATTTGGAAGTAAATAAAAAGAACAAAAACAATATAAAAACACATTTTTTTAGATTTGATGTCTGTGCTGTCCAACCCTGTTGAAATGAGCACTCAGGCTGCCATTTTTGTCRAATTAGCTCTAAATGTGTCATTTTGATGTCCACACTGGAGCGGGATTGGATTTTAGAGGGTTAAAAAGGGAATAAAATCCTTACAGTATGTGTTGTGACTCTCAGCTATTACCACAATTAATTTTAGCTCAGTACCTTATATAGTACCTGATCTGTGTTTAATTAACTGTAATATAAGCAAACATTTTTTAATGATTGTGGTAAGTCTGATAGACTACTATCCAGAACCATAAACAGATCAGGGTGCGTTATGGTTTCAAGAACTCTTTGAATGAGTTGAAAAGCGGCCCTGTCTGTCACTTGAAAGACTCCATCTTCAAAGCTTCAGGCAGAGGCTGTAAACAAATGTGAGTCTGCTGATTGGGTGGTTCTTGTTTCTGCTGGCAGCGCCCACTGTGAGCCACAGCGGCTGTCACAGGTCAAACACCATGAGGGTGATGGGATTTTCACCTGGTTGATACTGTGTCTCTGAGAGTCTGCTGGGKGTACACAATGTTCTTATTATTTGTCAATGTACAACTGGCAGCACAGCCATGCACTGTTTGAGTTCATGAAAACTAACCCTTATGGGTCCAAACAGCTTATTGTTTCCAGTTGAAATTTCCCTTTGAAGTTCTTGTTTTTTTTTTTTTTTTTTTTTTTTACCACAAGTGATAGCTGGTCATAAAAGTCCTGGTTTAAAATTTGATGGAAAAGTTGTTTTTGGTTTAAAGCAAGAGTCTCCAACCTTTTTTCCCTTAAGAGCTACTTTCACAAAATGAAATTGTCCAAAAGCTACTTTTTGCAACATTTAATTAATGTTGTTAATTAAATGTTTAACTTAAACTTAAACTATTAGAATATGCTTGTTTTGCAAAGAAAACATTGTCTTCAATTAAAATGAAACCACCACAAAAACACTGAATTTACATGAATGTGTTTTTGTGTTTATATTAGTGAATTTCACACTAATAAATTAGGGTTTAACCAGGACAGATTTGTGCACAATTAACGTCAGGTGATGGGTCTCCAAATTGTTTTTCGCATTGTAGACTCCAGCAGGTAGAAACCCTGTGCAGTGACATATACCACAGCAGGAGGGGTTTCCCAGGAGTTTGGCAAAATGTGTCTCAAGGGGCTATGAAAGGTGTGTGTGTGAAAACTATACAAACAACCATGTAACCGTGTGTCATCTGCTGATTGACCATACTGAGCCCTAAACTGTTAGATTGACAACCAAAGGGAAGGCATATCTATAGACTGATTGGGATTAAATGAAAGTTTGTTTGGCCAGTGACAAATTAAATTTTGCTTCTTCTAACTTTTTATAATGAAGAGCTACTTTAAAGGAGCTCAGGAACTACTGGTTGGAGACCTTTGGTTTAAAGGGTTTAGCTGTTAATGGCAGAGGTCTATTAGTTTATCACTGCTGTTATTGTTGGTATTTAAAAACAAACTCTGAAGAAACAATAAAGAAGAACATGGGCTTGACGGAGCGGACTTTTTTTAGTTGAGTAATAAAAGTTTCCTCCCCTCCCCTCTGCTGAGAGCCTCCTGATTCATGGAACTGGTTTGATCCTCTGGAGATCCAAGGCCCAATACTTAGGGACCCCTGTGGACACCCCTCCTCCTCTTTTAATCCCATGGCTTCAGTTTTACTGTAAAATATATTTCCTGTTTGCMCATGAAAGATCTTTTTTATTTTCGTTTTAATGTTCCGTTAAAAATTATGAGCTCATTCCAAAGGATTAGTCTCAATTAGAATTAACTGGACTGCTATTTGAATTTTCCGACTTGGTGGAACTTTAACTTTAACTTAAATTTTGAAAATCTGTGTGTGATTAAAGCAGGACTTCTCAGACCCTGTCCCCCAGTGTTCCCATCATGTCCAAAGCTGATGGTGACAGTTAAAAACTACAGTCTGGGTAAYATTATCTCCTTAAAGCTGGTTTTCATCCTGGAAGTGGATTATTGATCATAACACAGCTCTGAAGTTGCTGTTAAAAGACAYGAGTTATTTCATTAAAATGAACCACAGTGGTGCTCGTCTTCATCATCGTGTTGCTTGAAGGTGAGGTGTTAATCCTAACTCAGGAATGGAGGGCGTTAAAGAGTCAGTTTGTAGACCRTCCTGCTGGAAGCTGCACAGCTCCCTGTGTGCGTTCACAGCCAGGTAAAGCCGTCCCAGCCCTGCCGATGGTGAGCAGGGTCCACACAGTCGTCTTCTGGCTGCTTGGCAAACCGATCTGAAGGTTCACGGCTCCCAGAGGAAGAGGACTTGTTGTGGTCTGTGTCTGCTTCAGAGACGGCGTGACAGCACCTGGACCGGTGTTCCCAGTGGAGCAGGCATATTGGCTGCAAGGTCAAGGTCTGTATAAGAGCTCAGTTTTTTTTTTTCACATTCAGAGGGAAACTGTTTTCCCACAGCTGCGTATCACTTACAGCCTGGTTCATGTGTGAGTAAATCAGGCAGCTCACTAACTTTAGGAAGTTTTTTTTTCCTCACAGAATCTGATTCATTTTGGTTCTGTTTCAGAACTACATATCTTGTCACACTATTATAGCTTTATTGGGATAAAATGTGTTTTTAGTGGTAAAGTGATGTCGAAGAACTGGCATTTATAACCCTATTTGGCGAACAATTTTATTTTAAACATTACCTTTAGACTATTTGCATAGACAGTTTACTTTAGAGTTAAAACTTATTTTAATGTATTTGAAAGATAAATAATAATAAAACTCGGAGTGACAGCCCCCAGATTCTGGAACATTCTGCCTTCTGATATTTCATACTGCAGAGACTGTACAGACATGGAAATCCCTCCTGAAAACTCATGTTTTTACAGAGGCTTTAAATCACGTTCAAATTGAGCTCTGTCTGAAGATCTTRTTTGGTTTTAGCCCATTTTATTATATCTGTTGTTTTTTATGTGTGAAATTGTTTTATTGTCGTGTTTTCCTGTTTGCTTTTAACAGTTTGTTAAACACTTTGGTCCATCTTGTTTTTTTATATAAAAATTGTTTACATTGACTTATTTCATTTAGAAATTCCACATAATTCCAGATTCAAACTGTATTCTTAATTTTTTTGTATATATATATATAT